CAAAAATCAGAGAATGAAATACTTCATACAAAATGCTCCTGCTTAACATGTTAGGGTGTTATATCTTTTTATTACACATCAGCAACATCAACAACATCAGTACATTTGTTGGGTTCAGCATGGCTCAAGTCCTCCATCCAGCTGGTATCTGAAAATAAGGAATGCTGGCAGCACAACAACGGTAGTCGATTGGTCCTTCTGATTATCCACCTTTTCATCGTCGACTTTCTTCTGATGTCAGCACAGCGTCTCTTCTGTCTTCACATAGCACGTTTTTCCTTCTTCAATACCGCACTTTGTAGGTCGTGTCACCACATCTGACTTCTTCTCACTTCCTCCTGGTTTCTATAATATTCCAGATGATTTTTCTGTTCACCTGCGCTTCCTCTACGTTTAGAGCATTTTCATATTCCAGACGATTTTTCTGCTCATCTGCGTTTCTTTATACCTCTTCGTTTTCCGTCATATTCCAGATGAATTTTTCTGCTCCATCTGTATTTCTTTATACATCTTCGTTTTCAACATATTCCAGACGATTTTCTGTTCATCTGCCGACGGCCCTTCTCCGGCTGGGATGAAAGCCGGTCCACTGTTTGGGCTGTCGTCTCCTTAGATAACTCGTAAGGCAGGTTCCGCGGACCAGGCCTCGCCCTCCGTACGTGAGTGTCGGCGAGACCAAAGACCGTCCTGTCTTACACCTTCCACAGTGGTGAATCCCTCCCTGGCTGGGCTCACCAGGGTTCGTTGTGTGGCACTTCATTCCACACTCCTTAACTTCCTAGTAGAAAAATATAAACTCTTCTTAATCCTAGACCAGGTAGGACTTGAAAGAAGTGGGGTGGTGCGTGGCGGGGGTGGTGCTGCATTCCTCACGCTGCTTCTTCTCTTCGTATATGTGCTGTGGACGGATTCCGGCTAGCCATGGGGCGGTACTGTGTGTGACATTTGACAGAAACAATCCTAAAGGGATGATGGATTAGTTGGAAGTGCATTCGCAAAAAGAAACAAATATTTACTTTATAAGTTACGTCAATGTTTGGTAACTATTATTTCCGTCACGACAATTTTCTCATTAGGCTGGGTCGGGGAGTGAAGCTCTGCTCATTACATTGAATATTATTTATCACTACGCGTCAAAGAGAACATTACAAATCATACTAGCATAAAAACACACTGAGTGAAGCTCTGTAATTATCGCAATATTAAGTAACACTAACCACCGATTTCAAAGCATAACTCACGGGACAAAACATATGGGGATTGGTGGTCACAGCGACCTAGGGGAGGCGAGGCGGGGCGCGGCTGCGGAGCGCGGCTGGCCAGGCCGGCGCGGCGCGGGGCGGGGCGGGGTGGGGCGAGGCGTGGCGGGTGAGGTGGGGGGAGCCGGGGCGTGGTTGATCGGGCCAGGCCGGGGCTTTGCGGGGCGGGGCTTTGCGGGGCGGGGCGGGGCGGGGCGGAGCGGGGTAGGGCAGGGCAGGGCGGAGCGAGGCGGGAACGGATGGGTACGGAGGGTGAGGTGAGGGTTAGGACAGGGAGGAGGATGTAGGTTAAAAGACATGTTAAGTTATAACAGTTAGTACAGACACCGCTTTCATAACTGAAACAATTTCTACGTTCAACACTGACCAACAATCAAACTGCTCTTGGGCTACTGAGAATGTCACAGATCGCGGGGGACACTGAGAAATCACGTTAAGCACTGAACATATTTCTAGAAAAAAAAAATTCGCGCATACCACGACGAGAGACACTTACTTGAGCTGTAGCGGTGACACACTAGGCCACTTTTCACGCTACGACACGGGAATTACTTATTACACAATTGTAGACAAACTTAGACTGAAACAAATGAAGGATGAAACGAGCCAGGTGTTATGGCTAACCGAGGGAAGGCGTGAGTTTACGTTAAGTTCGCTGCTACCATTATAATAACTAAGCGAGGGAGGCGTGAATTACATATATAGTTCGCTGTCACCTATAACAAGAGACAAGGAGAGCGTGAATTACATATAGTTCGCTGTCACCTATAACAAGGGACAAGGAAGGCGTGGGTTACACATAGTACGCTGCCGCCATTGTAATGAGACAAAATGAGACAAGAAAAGAGATTTAAATATATGTAGGATATTGATAGTATAAGAGTATAAAGAGAGGAAGATTTTGGTAGCGTGGCCGTGATAGTTATTTACTCTTATCGTACACTTATCGTATCTTATACGTCAATACACATCTATTACGTTCTTAAAGGCGACTTCTTAAACACTGCTTCGTTACAACTCTTTATTAATTACGAACATGACATGGACACATTAATAACACCTTCTATTGAAGTTACTAGGACATTATGTTTACGTTACTAGGACATCATATTACGTTACTAGACACTCTGATTCTCGGACACGAACATGAAATGAATACACTTCCCACGTAAGTAACTCATCCCATGGAAAGCTCTGACAAACACTCACGTGACCTAGGGGAGGCCTAGCAGGGAGAGCAGGGAGACTGCTTAGCTGGGACACTCGGGAGGGCGACTGCTTAGCGGGGACACTGGTGTCGGGTGGGCGACTGCTTAGCTGGGACACCGGAGGGAAGTCTCGGTCCTGACCGGAGGCGACTTGCCTCCGGCCTCTGACTTCGGCTCGAGCAGGCCTGGTGGTGTCGTAGCTGGCCACCTTGTTACAAGACAACTACTTCTCTGCGAATCCTCGAGGGAGGACCAGGACGTCCTATATATTGGGAAGCGAGCCGTCAGGTTCAGCTGGCCGGGGGGGGCGGCGAAGGGTCTCCTTACATTTGACCCCGCAAATGTGCGGTCAGGCCTGGACCTTTTCAGAACTATCTGGGAAAGTCATCAGGCGGGGCCGTGTGTATATTGGGAGAGCAACCGTGAGAGTTCCCCTACACTTGACTTCCCAAACGTCGGGTCAGACTGGAGTTTCTGAGATGTAAGGAGAAGTCGTCAGGTGGGGCCGTGTAACACGAGAGGCCTTGAGTTGGGCTCCAAGGGTTACAAGTGACCTGGCTAATTGTGAGGTCAGGTCCGGCCTTTGTTCAGAGAGTAGGTTATTGTATATCGGAAGAGGGTCAGCTGGTGCCTTCTTACATGTTTTGTTGGGGCCACATGTCACATGGGAGGGGAGCTAGGCTGATTTACCATCCTTGGTCAACCGCAGAGTTACCCTATACTTTTGCCCTCGGCTAATGTCCGGTCAGACTGGAGTTTCTGAGATGTAAGCTGTGGTCTGACAACCCCTCACTAAACTTTGAGGACGATGATTTAACCCATTGAGGACGATGATTTAACCCTTTGAGGACGATGGCTTAACCCTTTGAGGACGATGATTTAGCCCTTTGAGGACGTTGGTTTAACCCTTTGAGGACGATGATTTAACCCATTGAGGACGATGATTTAACCCTTTGAGGACGATGGTTTAACCCATCAGAACTCAAAGGGTTAAATTCACGATTATACTTTTATTTTCTATAAGTGCGTTATATATTTATGTCTTGATTTTGTATATTTGTAGATTAAACACCGATTTTGTTTTATTTTTTATTCAAATATAAATTAAATACTGCGTGGTTTTCTTATTTACATCTTAGAGATTATGTATCATTTATTTTTTTAATTAATGATTGTATATATATTTTATTGTTATTTTTTATTTACTTGTAATTTAAAAACTTATTTTTATATTTCGTTTTCGTTTATTTTTTTAATGAAATGTAATGTATTTGTTTAGTATGAGTGTTATAGTTGCTTGCAAACAGAAGAGTTTTCATTCATTTATATTGTCATTTTTTTGTTTATGGAAGAATCAAGTACTATTGTTCTGCCGAGGCATAATTTGGCATTATAATTTTTGTGAACTAGGTATTTTGATTATTTTCTATTCCAAGCAGCAGTTATTTTGGCAAGTGTAGGGACATTTTCTTGTAAATATTGATGTATTATCTATGTAAGAATTTTCTAAAATGTATTGCATAATTTTGTTTTGATTTACTTCCAATTGTAAGCCTCGTTCAGAGTAGAACGTACTAGAACTTCCCAGACCTGTCTGGGTTGTGCTACGGTGTTCTAGGGTCGTCTAATGAGGTATATAATCAGCAGCATGCAGTAGACTGAGAACTGCACCTCGGTGAGGCAAGATCTTCTCTGTTCCCGAGGTACTACGTGAACCTGACGATGCTGACCTGTGACCAGGCAAAGGTCACAAGACTGTATCCAGTCACATGCCTTTCGCGCAAGCAACTAAACCTCCTTGCCCTAAGGAAGTTTTTTGACTCCTTAGGAATCAGGGGGGTGACAAGGGTCGTCCGCAGACCAGTGAGTGGTGGCCTTATCGTCACCTTTGCAGAATGGACAGGCCCAGCAAATAGCCAACATGGGATCCAGATACTAGTGGAAGCTCACACAGAGGATAACTTGGTGTTGAGAGTCATCTCCCACACCGAGATAGAACACCTTGAAAAAGAAGAACTGGCCGAGCTGATCGGAGACCAGCTCTCAATAGTACGGAAGCTGACCAGCGCAACTGCACTGGTTGGTTACCCAAAGAATCTTCCAAACACCGTATTGCTGGGATGGGAGAACATCCCAGTAAGACCGTATGAAAGAAGACCAACAAGGTGTTAAAAATGCCAGAGGTATGGCCATCTGGCAGGGAAGTGTCGAGCTCGGGAGGTAGGGGATATAGATAAAGTTCTTATAATATCCGAGCAGGATAGGACTCGGAGCAACGGATTCAAGTTGGATAAGTTTAGGTTTAGGAGGGAGATAGGAAGAAATTGGTTCACAAATAGGGTGGTGGACGAGTGGAACAAGCTTAGCAACTTTGTAGTAAGTGCGGGAACTCTGGAAAGTTTCAAAAGGAGGCTAGATAGATTCATGGATGATAGAGAGTGGCAGTAACTCTCGACAGGAGCTGCCATGCACAGGCCAACCGGCCTATTGCAGACTCCTTATTTTCTTATGTTCTTATGTTCTTATGTTGCAGTTGCGGGACACCCGGGCACCAGCACGCCACGTGCTCGGCGGTCGCCAAGAAATGCGCAGTTTGTGGTGGCCCTCACTCCTTCTCCGACCGGGAGTGTCCCAAGTGGAGTGTAGGGTGGCTAAGCTGCGAAGCAAGAAGAAACTGAGCTACAAGGAGGCTCTCTTTGCAGTGAAGACTGAAGAAAAGAAGAATTAAGACCCCAACGAGACCACAGAAAAGAAGCCAGAATTAAACAAGACCGAAGAAAAAACAAACAAGCCGAAAAAGCCAGATTCAGTAACATTAAAATTTTCAGCGTTTTTAGACTTTTTCGAGTATATACCAGAACAAGAACAAGAAGAGGAATGGAAATTGAAAAGCAAAAAGAACAAAAGGAAGAAGTCCAAAGAAAACGATTGGGGGGGGGGGGTGGAAACAGCTTCGGCCGAAATAGCAGAAAGGCGAAGAGGCCAGTAATCTTCAAACAAACCAAGCCTGGTCAATCAGTCGACCGTTTCTGCTCAGAGTGCGAAATACAAGCTTAGTAAGACAACTGAAGATCATTTTTGTGCAAGTATGATGGTATTGTTGTGAGCAATATAAAAGAGAAAAGACTAAGGAATTGTACACTGGTAATGTGCTGACTGTGTATTCTAGGTGAGAGTCCACTTGTGAAGACATTACCCTGTGAACTGTGTTGTGAAGAATTAGTGAATATTAAAGATGACTACAGTTCACAAGTGTGTTTCTGTGACCTGGTGGAAATCTACCTAAATGTTGTCTGTACACTGATACCGATCGCCGGGAAATCACCGGAGACTGGTGGGACAGCAAGTGGCAATTCGACGACACTAGTGATATATATATATATATATATATATATGTTAATAAGAAATAGCCCAAGTTTGAATGTAAATGGAAGTGTTTATTGTATTCCATGTAGCAAATGTAATTGTAATTATGTAGGACAGACAGGAAAAACACTGCAGCTCAGAATCAAACAATATAAGTACAATATCAGAACAGCATCTGAAAGCAGTGCCCTGTTCGTTCATGTTAGGAATAATAATCATCCCATTGCTTGGGAAAAAAGCTTATAAGTATTCAAATCATCTTGTGTCACAGAAAGACTTCTGGTTGAAGCTAGTTTGATTAAGGAATTAAAATCAATAAACATTAGTGATGGTCAATTCAAAACTGATAATATGTTACATAAATTTATTTGTCAGTGGCCCAAGGTTAAAAATGCTTTGAAAACCTTAATGGGTCCCATATTTTTGACCTGACCTGACTTGTCACGTCGCCCCCTTCTCTTAAGCTCCTCTACGTATGTGTTGCTGTGGGGATTAGTGGATGAGATCATTATGACCTGACCTCATGTTTAATAAGGTCACCCTGTATATTTAAGCCTCTCTCTGTCCATGTAATCCAGTTGCCTCTGAAGATGTTTTGAATAAAGACGAAAGCTAAGGTGCTCCGTTGTTTCCCTTTTCCCGTGTGATTTTATCAAGATTTATCTTATCCACGTTTTCATTGTGGATCTACATGAAATAAATAAATATATATATATATATATATATATATATATATATATATATATATATATATATATATATATATATATATATATATAAGAACATAAGAAAATAAGGAGTCTGCAATAGGCCGGCTGGCCTGTGCAACGTGCATGGCAGCTCCTGTCGAGAGTTACTACCACTCTCTATCATCCATGAATATATCCAGCCTCCTTTTGAAACTTTCCAGCGTTCCAGCACCTACTACAAAGTTGCTAAGCTTGTTCTACTCGTCCACCACCCTATTTGTAGACCAGTTCCTTCCTATCTCCCTCCTAAACCTAAACTTATCCAACTTAAATCCGTTGTTCCGAGTCCTATCCTGCTCGGATATTATAAGAACTGTATCTATATCACCTTTATTGATTCCTTTCACCCACTTGAATACTTCTATCATATCTCCCCGCACTCTTCGTCTTTCTAGGGAATGCAAGTTAAGTTTCTTTAACCTATCCTGATACGGAAGGTTTATAAGTCCCGGAATCATTTTCGTCATTCTTCGCTGCACAGACTCTAGTGAATTAATATCCATTCTATAATAAGGGCACCGGAACTGAACCGCATAATCGAGGTGCGGCCTGACTAGCGCAAGATATAGTTGCAATAAGACCTCTGCACTCTTATTACTTACACTTCTAGATCATAAGAACATAAGAATGGAGGAAACTGCAGCAGGCCTATTGGCCCATACTGGCCAGTCCCGTTTACACCCAACCCCTATTGCTCATACGAGCATCCAACCTATGTTTGAAGCAATTCAGCGTATTCGAGTTAATGATGATATTTGGTAACTTGTTCCATTCATCCACTACTCTGTTTCCAAACCAGTGTTTACCTATTTCACGCCTAAATCTAAATTTGTCTAATTTAAAACCATTGTTACGAGTTCGCTCCTGGTTGGATAGTTTGAGTACCTTTGTAATGTCCTCTTTGTTTAGCCCTGCCTTCCACTTATACACCTCTATCAGGTCGCCCTCGCTCTACGTCTCTCAAGGGAGTGCAAATTAAAGATGCTTTAACCTATCTCTGTCTCAAGGACCCTAATGCCGGATTAGTCTTGTCATTCTCCTTAAGATTCTTTCCCAGGTTATATCCATTCTGTAATACGGTGACCAGGGCAGACTGCGTAATCCGGGTGTGGTCTCCTACAGAAATAAGATACAGCTTTAGGATAGCCTCCTTTAGTCTTGTAACTAACACTCCTTTGTATGAACCGTACTTTATTAGCCTTATTCTGGCTTAAAAAAACATTGTTTACTTGAAAGCAGGTTCCTACTTATCATTACTCCTAAATCTCTCTCGCAGTCGGATTTCTCTATAGCATCGTTGTTCATCTGGTACCTGGTTTCCCTGTTTACATCTCCTATACTGAGTACTTTACATTTGTCCACGTTGAATTTCATCTGCCATTTTTCAGACCATTCGAAAAATTTGTTTAGATCTTCCTGTAGTTTTGCGGAGTCCTCGTCAGATTTAATTACACGTCCTATTTTAGTGTCATCAACAAATTTACTTATGTTGCTGTCTATGCCGATATCTATGTCGTTTATGTTTATAATAAATAATAATGGTCAAGTACTGAGCCTTGGGGAACTCCACTTGTGACGTTGCTCCAATGGGACTTAGTGCCGTTAATGCTCACTCGCTGTTTCCTGTCCTGTAACCACACCCTAATCCATTTAAGGATGTCACCTTTGATGCCATGAGCTTCTACCTTTCTAATTAGTCTTTCGTGGGGGACTCTGTCGAAGGCTTTACTAAAGTCCAGATATACCACATCATAATTGTGCCCCTCATCCACCGATTCGAAAACTGATGAAAAGAATGTTAATAGATTAGTTAGGCAAGAACGTCCGCTTGTGAAGCCATGCTGGGAATCATTGATCAATCGGTGCTTCTCCAGGTGATTTCGAATAGAGTTTGAAATCATTGCTTCCAGTATTTTGCCTACTATTGATGTTAGACTGATTAGGCGGTAGTTAGAGGATAGTGATCTATCCCCCTTCTTGAAAATCGGTATTACATTCGCTATCCTCCAGGATTCTGGTACTACACCTGTTTTTAATGACATGTTAAACAACTTTGCTAAGGGCATACTAAGCTCTTCCTTACATTCCTTTAATACTCTGGCAAATATCTCATCGGAACCAGGTGACTTATTAGGCTTTAATTTGTCTATTTGCTTAGTAACATCGTTACTAGTCACTACTATCTCACTTAATTTGTTTTCTTCTCTGAATAGAGTCGGTGCCTCAGGTATCATGTATAAACTTTCGGTGGTGAAAACTGTTGAAAAATATTTATTCAAATTATTGCTCATTTCTCCGTCGTTATCAGTGAGCTCGCCTGAGTCTGACCGTATTGGTCGAATCTTTTCTCGTGTTTTAGTTTGATACATTTGGTAGAATCCTTTGGGGTTTGTCTTCGCCTCCTTGCTATCCTTACCTCATTATTCCTCTTTGCTTTCCTTATCTCGGTTTTAACCCTACTCGCCAATACCCAATAATAGTCCCGGAGGTGAATTTCGCCACGATTTATCCTTCTACCTATAGCCTTCCTTTGGCCAATGATGTTCTTTAAATAATTATTTATCCATTTAGGGTCATTGTTGTCTGATCTGAGTTTTTTATATGGTATGTTCTGCCTTTGTGCATTAAGTAACTTACTATTTAAATTGTCGTGGAACTCGGCAATATCAGATCTCGTTATCAGGTCCGTGTCATCTGTCAGGTTCACAGCTGCCGACAACCATCAATCCTATGTTTGCCTTATTTCGAACATTAACGTAATTGTTTTGTAGGCCGTAGGTCCGGCTATAAGTGTACCCAGGTCTCTTTCACAAGTCGACTTCTCTAGGTTGATGTTGTTAAGGCTGTATACATATTACGTATTTGTTCTCCAATATTAAGTACGCTGCACTTGCTGGTGTTGAATTATTTGCCATTTTCAGACCACCCCTGCAGTTTATTTAGATCCTCCTGTAATTCATTTGCATCCTGCCCTGAATTTCTCTGCCGCCCTATTTTGGTGTCATCCGCAAACTTGCTTATGTCACTGCTGATCCCAGTATCTAGATCGTTTATGTAGATTATGAACAAGAGTGGGCCTAGTACTGACCGCTGGGGAACCCCACTGGTTACACGACCCCACTCAGATTTAACACCATCTACGCTGACCCTCTGCGTATATATATATATATATATATATATATATATATATATATATATATATATATATATATATATATATATATATATATAAAAAAAAAAAAAAAAAAAAAAAAAAAAAAAAAATAAATCCACAGTGAAAACGTGGATAGAATCTTGACACGGAAAATGGAAACAACGGGCACTGTTTCCATTTTCCGTGATTTATATATATATATATATATATATATATATATATATATATATATATATATATATATATATATATATATATATATATATATATATATATATATATATATATATATGTATATATATATATATATATATATATATATATATATATATATATATATATATATATATATATGCTGATAAACAAGGAAAAAGAAAACACGAAGTTCTGCGCCTGTGTAATTCATATCTTCAGGTTAGGGTCAGCTTACCCTCTGACCTGACTACCTACTGCTGCAGTGCTTTGTAAAGATTAGAAGGGCTATTACCTATACCTGACCACTGTGGACTTGATCCTACCCTCCTCTGTATATATGTATCCTGTTTTGTACTTCTTCTTACTCTGTACTCACCCCTGAAGATGTGAATTACACAAAGCGCTTGGGAACTTCTGTGTTTTCTTTTTCCTTGTGGTTATCAGCACATACCTGGATCAACGCACCTACAGTGATTTATTTGTATATATATATATATATATATATATATATATATATATATATATATATATATATATATATATATATATATATATATATATATATATATATATATAAAATAAATCTACAACGAAAGAAGAAAAACACAAAGTTCCCAAGCGCTTCTGTGTTTTCTTTCTTTCCTTGTGGTTATCAGCATATACCTAGATCACGCGCACCTACAGTGATTTACTTACATACATATATACGACCTGGCCACTAGCAAACTCAGCAAAACTACAGGAAGATCTGAACAAATTTTTCGAATGGTCTGAAAAATGGCATATGAAATTCAACGTTGACAAATGTAAAGTACTCAGTATAGGAGATGTAAACAGGGAAACCAGATACCAGATGAACAACGATGCCATAGAGAAATCCGACTGCGAGAGAGATTTAGGAGTAATGATAAGTAGGAACCTTAAGCCAAGTAAACAATGTGTTTTTGCTCGTAACAAGGCTAATAAAGTACTTGGGTTCATACAAAGGAGTGTTAGTTACAAGACTAGCGAGGTCATCCTAAAACTGTATCTTGCTCTTGTGAGACCACACCTGGATTACGCAGTTCAGTTCTGGTCACCGTATTACAGAATGGATATAGAATCCTTGGAAAGAATTCAGAGGAGAATGACAAGACTAATCCGGCATTAGGAACCTTGAGTATAGAGACAGGTTAAAGCATCTTAATTTGCACTCCTCGAGAGACGTAGAGCGAGGGGCGACCTGATAGAGGTGTACAAGTGGAAGGCAGGGCTAAACAAGGGGACATTACAAAGGTACTAAACTATTCAACCAGGAGCGAACTCGCAACAATGGTTTTAAATTAGACAAATTTAGATTGAGGTGGGAAATAGGTAAACACTGGTTTGGAAACAGAGTAGTGGATGAATGGAACAAGTTACCAAATATCATCATTAACTCGAATACGCTGAATAGCTTCAAACATAGGTTGGATGCTTATATGAGCAATAGGGGTTGGGTGTAAACGGGACTGCCCAGTATGGGCCAATAGGCCCGCTGCAGTTTCCTCCATTCTTATGTTCTTATGTAACCGGTGGTGGAAGCTGGGTAAGCCAGAAGGAGGGTCCTAACACTGGTGTCAGGAGTGGGATAGCCTAGCAGTGAAATATTAGGCAAGATGGAAGATGACGGTGTCCAGACCAGATGCCAGGCTAGCAAGGGAGATTTCCAAGGCTGATTTGATGCAATTCTTTGAATTACAACGAGAGGAACAGAAACAGCTATTGCAATAATGAGAAGAACAGAAGGCGCAACAAACATGGTTGCAAGAACAGCTACAATCACAAAGAGAAGAACAGAAGGAGCAACAAACAAGGTTGCGAGAGCAACTGGAAGAACAACGAGAAGAGCAGAAACATGAAAAGGTGCAGCTGCAAGTGAAAATTCAGGAACAACTGCAGGAACAGATAGAAGAACAGAAGCAACAACTACAGCAGCTGCAGGAAGAGATCGACAAGAAAATTCATTAACGGGAAGAGGCTCTGCAAGTGATGCGTGATAGAATGATGCGTTTCATGAGGTGCAAGTTGAAGTGGGTGAAAAATTGAAGCAGCACAAAAAAAAGTGAGTGGTGAGATCACAGAGGTACGAGAGGAGTTAACAGTGGTGAACAGTGAGCTACAGAAAGTCAGTAGCAGGACGGAAGCTCTGGAGAATTGTCAAACAGCAACCAAGATCTAGTGACCCCTATAAATGTGGTGTGCGTGAAACATCGTTTGCGCACACTTTGAGTGGAGAGAATAGTGTTGCAAATGACAGAAAATACGACGAGCGTGAAGAAAAAGGAAAAGTGTTGAGCTGAATTACAGAGCACCTGAGTTCAGACCCCGAGCTATGTCAAGTGAAGTGGTGATCTAAGAGAGCCAGTGAAGAAACCACAGGAATTCGATGGCAAGGTCTCCTGGGAAGCATACCAAGCGCAGTTTGAGTTACTGGCTGAACAAAACGGGTGGGACGGCAAGCAGCGTGCAGTGCAATTAGCCACGAGGTTCTCAGCCAATTGACAGGTGCAGAGCTAAGCAGTTACATGTCACTGGTAAAGGTGCTGGAACCAAGCAACAAAATGAAGTTTACAGGGCCAGATTCCGCACTCGTACCCGTAATCGAGGTGAAACACTGCAACAGCTTGCTCAAGACCTGGGAAGTATGGCTCAGAGGGCGCACCCTGGTGCATCACTTGATCTGTTTGCCATGTTGTTGAGGGACCAGTTTGTGGACGCATTGGACAGCACGCAGCTCAAGATTCAGGTGAAGCAGTCCCAACCTGTAATTCTACAGGAAGCTTTGGCTAGAGCCCTGGAGTTTGAATTTTGTGTGAGGTCAAATTGACCAAGCTTCAGGGCGAAGTCTAGCGCTGGGTTTAAAGGACGAACGAGCCAAGTACAAGAGACAAAGATTTAAAGGAACCTGCTGGTATTGTGAGAAGATTGGGCACTAACAGGAGGACTGTTACAAGCGGAAACGAGAGCGAGAGAAGGTTAATACAGAGAAGAACCTGGAGAAGAGAAGATGTTGGACGTGTGGAGAAGATGGACACTTCCAGACTAATTGGCCACAGTCTTCCAGGAGAGGAAAAGCAGAGCAGCCCACTACGACGGTAAACTAGAGATGGCTGGTGCTGAGGGGCAACGACCAGCTTGTCTCACCAGAGCCCCACTGTTGATAAAGTGCAACCGAGCCACTGTAAGCAGTGTCCAGGTTGAAGGTGAGATCGAAGGCATAAGGTGTCCGTTTATATTCGACACAGCCTCGGGGCAAACTTTTGTGAAGCCGGACGTGGTTAGTCATCGACAACTACCTGAGACGTCGCAGCAGCTGTGCGGGATAACTGGACACTGCGCACTGCTAAAGGGACCAGTGGATATCAGCATCAAGTTAGAGAGGAAGAAAAACCATACAGTTTTATGTAGCAGCTATAGAAACCCTTGTATCCGGGGTCTGGACTACCTCCTACCTCGCAGGTGTCCACTGGACCTTGGCTTGATGCAGCTGAAAATTAAAGGAAAGTGGGTACCGCTGAATACTGTAAAGCATGTTAGTGCTAAGGTTGCAGCTTGGCGGTCAGTAGTTATTCCCCCAAGATCAGAGGTGCTGTTGCAGTGCAAGGTGAACGGTGCCTTGCATACCCGTCTAGGAATGGTGGAGCCTGATGAGCAATGCACAGTACTGTAGAAGATGGAATGATGGTGGGAAGAACTTTAGTCGATCCATCTGCAAAGGAGGTACCTGTAATTGTGGCCAATTTCTCTCTCCGGCCAAAGAAAATACAGCAGAATGGCCGTTGGACTGTGCCAAGAAGTCGACCAGGAGCAGCAGCCCAGGACCTGCAAGAGGAGAGTGGTCGAGCAGGAAAATGGTCTGCCAGACCATTTGCAGGACTTGTTTGCCAGGAGCTCCCAGTGCCTGGATGAGGCTCAAGTGATACAACTGGAACAATTGTTATTGAAGTACAATGACGTCTTTTCTGTAGGGAACCTAGACCTGAGTTGTACAGTTCAGACCTGGTACAGCATCACATCGACACTGGGGATCACCGCCCGAACAAACAGCACGTCGCCAGGAAATGGAGAAGGTGATGGAGGGTCTTATTCACCAAGGTCTGGTCGAAAAGTCCAGCAGTCCGTGGGCGTCAGGAGTCGTCCTAGTGAGAAAAAAGGATGGCTCAGTGCGGTGCTGTGTGGACCACCACGCCCTCAATGACGTGACGGTGAAGGACTCCCACCCCTTACCAAGAGTCGATGACACACTGGATGCCCTAATAGGCGCCAAGTGATTTTCAACACTCGACATGATGTCTGGGTATCATTAGGTGAAGATGGCTGAAGAAGACAAGGAAAAGACAGGATTTTCATATGGACAAGGGCTGTGGCGGTTCAAGGTAATGCCATTCAGCCTGTGCAATGTACCAGCTACCTTCGAACACCTCATGGGGCGGGTTTATGAAGGCTTGCACTGGAAGACTGCCCTCATATATCTGGACGACGTGAATGTCTTTGGCTGAACTTTTGAGGAGGAGCTGGGGAGGCAATCGGAAGTGTTTGACAGGCTCTGAGCTGCACACCTTAAACTGAGCCCAAATAAAAGCTACTTGCTCCAGAAGGAAGTTTAATATCTGGGACATGTAGTCATTGAAGACGGCGTACGCACAGACCCAGAGAAGGTGGCGGTGATGAGAAACTGGCCAGTGTCAACTTTTGTAAGGGAGCTGCTTAGTTTCCTTGGCCTTTATGCCTACTACCGTCGATTTGTTAAGAACTTCGCCTCGGTCGCAGCACCGCCACAAGCTGACTAAGAAGGGGCGGAAGTTTGTGTGGACTACTGAGAGTCAAGGCTCCTTCAACCAGCTAAACGATGCCTTGCCCAGCTCCCCGGTGCTCCCGTATCCAGACCCAACTCAACCATTCATCCTGGACTGTGATACTAGTGGTGATGGCGTCGGTGGGGTGCTGTCTCTGAAGAAAGATGACATCGAGTACGTAGTGGCATATTACAGCAAGATGTTAAGCCCTCCAGAGAGAAATTATTGAGTGACCAGGAAGGAACTCTTGGCCGTTGTAAAGAGTTTAGACTTTTTCCATCCCTACCTGTATGGATCCAACTTCACCATCCGGACTGACCACGCAGCATTTAGGCTTAAAACCCTGAAGAATCCAGAAGGACAAATGGCACGGTGGATTGGGAAGTTGGATCAGCACAATTATACCATCCAGTACAGGCCTGGGCAGATACATGGGAATGCTGACAGTCTGAACTGACGACCGTGTGATTCCGATTGTCAGCAATGTTGCAGGAGAGAGACAGTTTTCAAGAAGTGTATTCGCCCTACAGTTAAGGGGGATCCAGCCGTTGCTGGGAAGGCCTTGAGAAGCTGCAGCTGGAAGACCGAGACCTGCGACCAGTGGTCGAGTGGATGAGCCAGAGCTCAGTGCGGCCAGCATGGGAGACGATCTCTGGAGCAAGTCCTACGACTAAAAACTACTGGGCCAGTGGACATCTGGGAGTGATGAAGACCCCTGAGTCGCCTGTGTCAAAGGTTTAACTGGATTGGCATGCGTAAGGATGTGGAAGAATGGTGCCGTTCATGCAATGTCTGCTGCGCCAAGAAGGAACCAAAGCTACACATGCGCCCATTGCAGTTGTACCATGCAGGCACACCAATGGAGAGAGTCGCAGTGGGTATTGCAGGACCTCTGCCACTCACCGCAGAAGGGAATAGGTACAGTCGGGGTCAAAGTCCTGTCGCCTCTCCTGCTGCTCCAAGAACAACAAGATTCAGACTGTGAACCCAAAGCGGGAGACACTGATGCAATATTCTGTCCACGGTGGCTTCGGGTTCACGAGTCTGAATCTCGGAGTTGGTGGAGCAACAAGTGTTAGCGAGACTTTTGGCCTCGACAACTCATCGTCCACTTCCACCTGCTACAGTCGGCGTTGTTAATTATCGTCTCAGAGAGTTGTGAACCACAGGGGTATGATACTGCATCCGAAGCATTCGCTCGTCGAGGGTGGGGGGACAGGGGGCAGGTGGGAGAGGAGGGTGGCAGGCTGGGGGTAGGTGATGAGGGTAGGAGTGGATGTGGGCTGGAGTTGTGCAGCTAGCAAGACTGGATTTTTTAATATTTAGAAGCATATAATAGTTAACCTGTCGCTTAATATTATAATTCACTCATACTGGCTGTGAGCTAATATTTATTCATTCTTGCTCTGTACAACCACTGTCACCAGAACAGATCCTCACACAAACCGTATTCACCACACATTCTGTAATGCTTGTTATGATATCCGTGTCTCCCTCGCCTGCCCTAATTACAGGGAAAATGGAAATTAATCCAACGCTCTAGGCATCAGCGGCCATGTAACACTGTTATCAGAAGGGAGAACGCTACCTCTCCCACCTGGGGTGTGGCAAACAAGGGACGAAGGGGAGGCCACAGACCCTCCCCATCCTGGGTCTAAATCTTAGCATAGGTTAGCCAGTAGCCGGAATGACCAGACTCGGTTTTTACTCATTCTCCACCATCCTCAAATGTTACTGCACGATGTAAATAAACACTGAGAATATAAATTGCCATATATGCAAAATTTTCAATATTCCTAATTCATTCAAAGGGGGTGCTGGTGGATAGAGTGGTACCGCTCTTGCCTTCGCAAGCGAGATGTCACGGGTTCGATTCCCGGGCCGGTGGAAGTTGTTTGGACATACTTCCTAGCCCCCATTAGTCCCTGTTCATTTAGCAGTAAAGTAGGTACCTGGTGTAAATCGAAAGTTGCGAATTCGTATTCAGGGACAAGTTGTTGGAGCTTCCAATAACTTGATGACATAAACTATTGACTCTTCAGGCTTCTATGCCCTTGACTCTTCAGGCTTCTACGCCCTTAACTCATGAGACATAAAGGCAGGCATGAACTTAGCATGCTTGCCTGTTGGGCACTGTAAACGCTTCTGCGCTTCACCTTACACAAGGATGTA